AAACTATATCAGGTCAACTAGAAGGTACAGGAAACCATGTAGGATTACAAATGATCAAAGTTTGTTTTGAATTAAAACAGTTACGAAGCAAACTATACCTTGGTCTGCACCATGTTTTGTCTGTTTTGTCTCATTGTTTTAACAAAGTTGAAAACATCAATCGTTTTGTAATCTCTCGCTTGTCTTATCATGGCGTCGATGGCAAGAAAAGCTCCTGTTCTTCCAACACCAGTACTGGAAAGAGCAACCACAAATTAAATGAATCGTAAGAACATACAAGACATGACATTTCAATAGTCCTCTTGTCATTCGGTGTAGTTTTTTGCTCAGCTTTGTGAGTTAAGGTTACTCTATATAGTTTTTGTACGCGCGCGCGTGAGGTTGTGCACGAGCAAGCGCAGAACCAGAACTTGAAGGATCTTTATTTTGATTGCGTCACGAAAATAACGTTCGCACGTGTTATATTTTTTCTGAATAACTGAAATAACACTAGACAGTATATTTTATTAAAAATTGACCGTGGAAAATTTGAGTTTTAGTTTTTTAAATGGCCTTCATTATAGCTGACGTGGTGTTACCATGGTAACCTTATATGTGATTAGCTCCATTAATATTGAACCTAAACTCATGAACTTTAATGCGGTTAGAGTTTTGGGTATTAATGTGTTAGCATGCATTAGCCATAGATTACTATCCTATTGATTGGCTACCGAAAACTCTAGGGAGCCACCTTAAAAAATATAATGCTGTTGTGAAACATCGAGTTTTAATGTACAAATGAAAATGAGAGAAAGAAAAATAAGCCAGATATTTTGGCATTGAATTCAAGTGTTTCACAACTAAAAAGATTTACGTACCTGGAGTGAACAACCCAAGGAGACCCCATGGCTGTGTCTGACTCAAGACGTCTTCTGAAGGCCAATAATTGTGTTGCATGTTGAGGAACACCTTTATCAGTCCAGGCAGTGAAATGATATTGAAAGACATAGCGCTGTTCTCTTGTCTTCATCTATGAAAAATCAATTTCGTTACAAAACAGAAATAGGAAAACAATTGTCGCTTTGTACGACATAATCACTGAACTGACTTTTGAAATGATTTGTTAATTAACAAACTGACATAGCCGTGCAGTGGCTGTTTGATGCAAAGCATATTAAGTTAGTTACGTTTGCCAACCTGCACTGAGAGCTTCCCCTGAGGGACCTTGATTGATTGGTTATTGAGGTTGTATATCAACACATAAATGTTTAATACAGTTACAAATAGTCCATTCTTGGAGTGCATGTGACATCATAACCGCTATCTTGGTTGATTTTCATTTGGCAAAAGTTTGTTCTTGGTTTCCAGCTGAGCAGACCGCGTTCCCCGAAAGGAATTATGGGTCGACTTTTTTTTGGTTTGAATTTTGTTTGTAGTCATTAATAAGAAAGTCAATTGCAAGATACCGGTTGTGCCTACCTTGGATACAACAAAAGTACGAATGGAGTAGTCAGCAAATACTTCAGTCTTGTGTAGATGTACAGATAGATCCTGGTACGTCTTACTATTTTCTGGCCAATACTTTTCGCATTTTATCTGTAAGAAAAGAAGGTCAGTTTATTTTGCTCATGCTTTTGCTATTGCAACCCGTCCCCGTCCCCGTCCCCGTCCCCGTCCCCGTCCCCGTCCCCGTCAAATAATAACTTTAGGAATATAAATCTCATACACAAAACATTATTTTCACCTTATTTTGTTCTTTGATGCCTGTTAACATGACAATCACCGACATTTTTTCTTGCCAAATCATTCGCCAAAAATCATTAACAGTTTGAGGGAGAGGACCTAGTAGAACAAAAAACACACAAAGAAATTGATAAACATCATTCGGAGAGATCATTGGGGATAAACCGAGAAATTAAATAGTTCAAAATGTTTTTACAGAGATTGCCTACCTTGAGTTGCAATGTAGGATATCTGCTTACAGTCATATCCCTGAATGGCAAAGTAGTGAAGAATTATATTCATAGCATTACAAATTTTTGTGTGAAAGTAGTTACATACAGAACGTTACATCGGTCTACTCTAGACAGACCCGGTTAGTGGGACGGGGAAGGGGCTGCCGAGATAACAATATACCAGCAGATTTTTTCCCTCTACGAAACTATTATACCCAGAATTTCAGGAACATTGAGATCCCGTAAATTTCAAAACATGATGCTTTATGCTCATAAATCAGATATGTTGTCTGAAATTGCTAAGCCCGGCGTTAGAAAAGTCCTGATACCCATTTATCCTAATACCCTGGCCGGGTCTGTCTAGGGAATTCTTACACCAACCCAATTCCCGAATATTAAGTATAATATTCTAAATAAGTAGATATGCTGCTGTGGTCATACCCATATGTAGCTTGCATTGATGTAATCTGAATCTTCGTCTCCCTCCAGCTTTTCAAGAACAACTCTCGAGTTATTGTCTGAAAACAAAGCATCATGTTCTCAAATACAGCACTACATAAGCATCGCTGTTAAAGCTCATAAACATAGAATATAGACACATTACATGTGACGTCAAAGCAGCTCAATTTGGAGGCCAAAACAAAAGAATTTCGATTCCCTGATATCATGATAATTGGAAACCTATTGCTATTTCCTCCAAATGGAGCTGCATTACGTGCTGTAAGATGTCTATTGCGATACTTACATGGGATGATATTGCCATAGCGATTTTTCGATTTGTTGATCGGTTTCATGGCAACAGTGCAAGGGTACAGGCGACCTTGTGGTAATATCTAAAATAGATAAACCATATTAATATCACATATTCTTGGGGGGTGCAACGATATGACCCAAAATCCCTTGAGATGTTAATGACAATGAAACAATTGCCATGCTGGTCGGAAGCTAGTGAGGAATGCTTTGTTACCGTCAACCAACATGCCAGTTATGACGTAACATTCCACCTAAGAATATAAAAAAAGTATTGTGCAAGTATTGTTGCATGTCGCATGTTGCACTTTGCATGTCGCATGTTGAATGTTGCATGTTGCATTTTACATGCATGTTGCATGTTGCATTTTACATGCATGTTGCATGTTGCATTTTACATGCATGTTGCAATGTTGCATGTTGCATGTTGCATGTTGCATG